TATGTCGGCGAAGAATAACCGTTTTAATGTTTATATTTTTATTAAATGGGTTTTATAACCCCCCAGGAATTCAAGATTTTTCGCATAGACATTACTCGCTGGCTTCGTTTCTTGCTCACTCTCCCTCTCTCTGCGCTCTCTCTCTCTCTCTCTCTCTCTCTCTCTCTCTCTGCTGGCTCCCTTCTGTCTCTCTCGTTCTCTCGCGGCCCCTCTCTCTCGTTCTCTATCTCTCCTCTCTCTCTCTCTCTTCAATTCTCTCTCTCTCTCTCTCTCGCTCACGCTCGGTCTGGCTCTCTCAGACGCTCGCTCTCCTTCTGATTCTTTTACTCGAGCGACAATTTTAGTTCCATTTTCCAAGTTTCCTTATATAAACCCGTCCGAACCAGGACTTGGGATTTTCCGGATCCGTTCCGATCCCAGTCTTTTACTTTCAAATCCAAAAGCGATCGGCTTTAAGCTAATCCAATACTGTTGTCAAGTGCCCATCCCCCAAGGGCAACTGTCAGTTTATTTGGGCTTAATTGGCAACAGTCTCCCGGGATGGGCCTTTCGATAGGTGACGGCCCATCCCCCGCCGAGACGGTCTCTTTTTAGGGGTGGAAACCGGGAGGGCAAACAGCACATGGTACACACACAGGCATTCACAAATGACAACACTTGACGAGTCAAGCGATGGGTTGGGCCCCAACCTTTTTAAGTCTTCCGCTGACCTCTGGGAAGCGCTAGGGAGGCTAGGTAAAGCTGGATGGCAGCGGAAATGGGAGTTTTGGGGACCAAAAAAAATCGGAAAATTAAAACGGGTGTAAGTCCAATTCGAAAATTTACGTAATTGTATGGTGAGCGTTTTTTTCAAGATACAGTATGCACGTGCTAACGAAATTCGTTGAGAAGAAAAGGAGAAGGAAAAAATTGTTAATAAGTATAATTAATGCCAGCAAACCCATATCCAATTGAAGCCGTAATGGTAGCAGGATTAAAGTATTGCGATGCAACAAAAATTGGAGACCTTGGAGACGGAGTCGCCGAATTACGTAACGTAAACGGTTAAAGGATTGTGAGGCAAGGACATTAAGGAAAAGCATCTATTAACTGTACCGCCTCTCAATCAACCAAGTCCATTCAAATCACCCCCGTAATCTCAATAATGCTTTCCCATAGTCGTACCTCGAAGAGTGGGCGCGAAGCAATGGCCCTCATTTCGCGGGGTGGCTGAGACAATGGGACCGTTTTGGGAAAGCCGTTTGTCCTTTTCGAGCCTCCGAGGGGGATCCATCCCGTACCAGCTGCTTAATAATGATGAGGCACCAGCATGGGAGCGATGGGTGACGGTATTTGAATTGTTGCGGGCAGCCAGCCCTAATTGGACCTCGGCCTGGCACCTATTTTCGCAAGAAAAAGCGTGGGGGAGCGGGCTACGTTGAACCTGCTAGTTTTGGCAAGGAAAAATAAATATTGGAAATTTCAGAAAGTAAATAATATATAGTGCTACTAGGGCATTTTGGTTAAGTTGATTAGCTCAGCAAACTGACCTTCAAATCAATTCGCTAGAACCCGACTAAGCGATAAAAACACAACGGAAAAATTTTTAAATAACCGATAGATCTAAATAAAAATAGCTGAAAAGCTTAAAACGTGCTGAGTTTTTTAATGGGAGACGATTTGGCTTGGTGCGGAAAAATTAGGATTGGTGACCTTTTGAAACACTTTTTGATCGGTTTGAAAATATCGCGGTTACGGTAGACTGAAAAATGCAACCTTCGTGAAAAATAGCGCGCGTAAGATGCCGATTTCAATAAAATAGTGTAAGTATACAGTAGTATAGAATAAAAAGGATCATCTACAAGATAACCTTGCATTCCTGGAATTCATCCTAATCAACAAAGCGATGCCGGTGGGTGTGAAAAATGGGCGCACCCCTCAGCCAATGATCTCCAGCTGTGTGGCGCAGAGGAAAATGTTGGCAAGGGTCGAGATGGAGGTATTTCAAGGCTAGGCAGCAGTTCGAACACCTTAAAAAATACCGGAAATTCCAATAAAACTTTACTATTGAGAATCAGAATCGACGCGCCGGGATCCTAAGGCCTAGCTGATTTCATTAACGTTGATTCTTAATTTAGAAACTTCGCCTTGGAGCGAAGCGTAATATTGAGCACCCGAAAAAGCACTGATCCTGTACACGCAGATTTCTCAAAATTAAAAAAATATAATCTATATTTGGACGCAACGGAGCGGCTACGACCCTTTGTCACGCCAAGAACGCAACGGTGTCATTAGTAAACTCCCGGAAATCTGGCCCCAAAGCGCAAAGATCTCTCCTATAGCCTCTTAAAAGCCAGGTCAAGCCCCTGAGTAGCCGCGACGGACAAGAAGTGCGAGTTTTCAGCGCATCGAGTGGCCTACGCGGCGTGGGAAGACCCTCATCCCCTCGTGCTATTTGGCACCCCCCCCCCATTGGTTGTAGATCCCGTTTTTCGTGGGATCCCCCGTTCGATGATGAGGTGATTGTGGTGCTAGTTTTGCTAGCAAATATCCAATGCTTATCTGGGAAACTAGGATTCGAAAAGAGACGCTTTTAAAGGGGCCTTAAAGGCAAGTTCGCACAATTTAACTATCGAGGAAACTTACAAAAATTTTTTTCAGTAATTTGTCGATAACTTTCGCAATCCTCGCTGTGTCGGGCACGCGCGAGCCAGTTTTTGAATATTTAAATTTACCATGCCCTTTTACCCGTTGCAGGGATTCCTAATTGCCCGCTTGTAAAGTGAGACTTCCTGGAAGCCCCCCCGCTTGCTGAGGGGCTGGTGGGGCCCTCATTTAATGCCCCAGCTAGGAGGATTTACGGGATTTGCAAATCCCTATCTCTCTCTCTCTCTCTCTTTCTCTCGCTCTCTCTCGCTCCCCTAGCTGACCGTCCCAAACACCATAATCCGGTAATTGCTCACGCCCACTGGCAACAATTGCTCAAAACGTTTAGCCAACTGAGGAAGTGTTTTTGCGGGTTAAGGGGATTTAGGAAAGAAAATTAATAAATCTTGCAAGCCAGATATTATCATATTTTATTTTGCTATGTGGATGCTTCGATGAACAGAGCGGGAGATATTGAGCGAGGGAGAGCGAGATAGAGAGAGAGAGAGCCGGAGAGAGAGCGGGAGAGAGCGAGAGAAAGCGCTGTTTTGCCGCATTAATAGGTTACCCGGATGCGATTTGCATCTATGTCTTTTCTCTTTCGCCCCCTCTTTCTTTGTCTCTCTCTCTATCTGTCTCTCTCTCGCTTCATCTCTCTCTATCTCTCTGTTTCGTTTCTCTGTCCCTCTACCGTCTACCGTAAGTCAAACTTTGTACCGCTCCATATTTCCAAGCCAACTTTTCAATTTCGTTGATTCTCCCAGGCGTCTGCCCTGACCCGGGATGACCCACCATAAACAAAAACGCCGGCCAATTCTTGTTGATAACACGCCGCCCAAGATGCGTTGACCGACATGAGGGTGGGGGACAGAGTCTAGCTGTCCTCTTTGCCGGTAGCTGGTTGTAAATTGTGGGAAGATGTCAGCAGTTGAGTGACGACGCGCCTCCCGATTCACATTTCTTGGGGATTCGGTGAATCGCGCGTCTCGTGATGGTTTGAAGGTGTTCGATGGTGCCGTACTCTGACCGGCCATAGGTCCGAAAGAATTTTGTAAAATTCTAAATCATAGTTTAATTTGAAGATATACTTGAACCTCGACTGCAAATCGGCTTTTCAAAGTAAATTCTGCTTAAAAATGAATGACGAAAATGTGCATAAAGGAACAATGGTAATTTAACTATGATCTATTCCTATGATTTTTGCGCACTTTAAAGGAATTAGGAAGCCGGAAAACCGTCCCTCGAAGGGTGACTAGATCTCGACGGTTGCAAAACGCCCTAAGGTGGCTATCACGACGATTTTTGTAAAATTGAGCCTTTGGCTAACTCTCAATTTCCCCAGTAACGACGTCACATAATGCTTACGCGCTTAAGCAGTTTGGCGCGTCGCGTAGGGGTCAAGATCTAACCGATCACAAAATGTTGATTTCACAACTTGCAGGTTCCTTTAGAAGCTCGACTTTTGGAAAATTTCCCTAACTACCCCTTCAAAAATCGCTAATATACTCTCTGCAAATTCCTCGGCCAACGGCTTAATTTTCTAAGCCCCCTTGTTTTTGCCCAAACTGATAACGGCCAGTTTTTCCAATTCGTCGAAGCGCTCGTTAAGGCGCGGTTTCCGGGGCAGTACACCAAGTTGATGTATGTAATTTTGCAAAATGGGGCAATTTTTAGAGAGCAATACAGACCTTGCACTGTATAAAAACACAGCTTTTTACGCAAAAAATACCGATATCGCTTCAGTCAGAGCCTTAATTTGCATAATTCCAAAGTTCTCGTACAAATCGGCCTGTGACAAACCTTTCCGAAAGAGCCCTAGCTCGTGCTCGTACACCGAAGCTGCCCAAAATTCGAGAATACACGGTTTTCTCTCGTCTCTGCTCTGTCGAAACCGGGGGCCTGGGGTTTATCTCGTGTTCTCACGCGGGTAAGAATTCAGACCCTTGAACCTTGATTCGCCTGGGAGTCGAAAGCGCTTCGAAAATTGCACGTGGTTCCGGGGAAAAGTTTAGAAAGTGGCGTGAGCATGTTTATAGAAATAAAAATAAGCTTTTTATTGAATTTCTCGAAACGTAGCATCGTAATAATCAAAAAAATGCTATGAATACATTATAAAAATCACAGGAACTTGGAAAAACGTAAAAAAATTCGGACTACCCTGCACATCGAATTCAGTCAGCAATTAAAGTATACAAAGCCGCAGTATTACTAGAAAGTTAAAGTTTTAGAAAAAGGAGAAAATTATGGAAAGCTTTTTTTAAAGAAATTCTTACGCTCCGAAATCCCAAGAATCAGAAATTTAGAAGAGCTATGGGAATCCCAATCGCCCACAAAAAAAATAAAATTCACGGCAGTTCAAGAAGCATAATCACCTAGTGTTTGTACAGATACAGTAAGCAATTTAAGAAAAGAGGAATTTCATATTTAGCAGCTAACATTCTGGCCCAGACAGCCCGCTTCAAAAGCTCGATCTCCAGCTGCATGCGCTCCACTTGGCTCTTCAGATCGGAATTCTTGTCCACGAGCTCTTGAAGCTCGTCACCAGCGTTCATCTTGGCTTCGCGTTGTCGCTTACGGTAGCGGGCTGCGGCGGCGTTGTTCTGGAAAAAAATGGACTAGATAAAGAGAGCGAGAGAGAGAGAGACAGAGAGAGACAGAGAGAAAGAGAGCGAGAAATTTGACCCTACCTGATTCCGTTTCCGCCTCAAAATCTCTTCAGGACTCTCCTCGTTCGAACCATCCTCCTCCTTCTTAACGGCACTAACGACTAGACGAACAAATTCCTCCATAGTTGCTTGCGTTTGCAGCGCGTTTATTAGCTAAAAAAGCACGTAACCGACGATTTTTAGTAATTTACTTTAACCATTGAAGGCCGAAATCCATACCTTCGTCTCCAGCGGCATCTTCATCGGCATCGGCAGCTGGGGCCAATTATTGATTTGAGGTGGAGGTGGTGGATAGTCGAAGTGGGTGAGTGGCATCGATGGCGGCGCGGTGCCAATTCCAGGGTATGCGGGCGGGGCATCCAAAGAGGTCACCTAAAACCGAAATTTAATGACCTATTATGTAGCAACATTAAGGAAAAAATCCCGGCGCACTAATGCATGCCGAAAGAATCAACGCCAAGTCGCTAACGAAAAAAGCAGTAATTTTCTCGCGCCCACTAGAGCTAATTTCCAGGATGAAACCCATAAAATACTTTTGCTTACACGTGAATTTTATACTTCCGCTACTGGCCGTAAGTCACCACCTTAGTAAAAGGAAAACGTTTAAAATATTGCGGTAAAAAGTTATTCAGCAACTCTACGTAAGTCACATTAGAAGTTTTAAAAGTTGGGTAGTGTTAGCCCAAATAGATAAATTTAGTATTTAGAAGGCCGGGTTTTTATTAGTTCGTTGTCACGGAGAATAGTTTTAAAATGTAAGTTTTTTTTTAACATGAAAGGCCGGGACGATAGAACAGGCCGGTAGAAACGATTATCGCATCCACAAAACCCAATTCGCAGCTCTCTTACCTGCTGCATAAACGGGCACTGCTGATAGGTCTGATTGCTCCATGCATTCGGATCCAAGCTCGGATGATCCGGGGGTAGTAGATGAGTAAAATCTCCGAATTGAGGTCCCGTCGGGAATCCCTGTTGCATCATGTCACCCGGTGGGGAAAGCGGGGTGGGCGAGTGAGCGAATTCCGAGAGTGGCGTCGCCTGAATTGGTGAGAGATATTGATTGGTTCGGGAGACGGGTTGTGATGCAATCAGTAATGGTTCGGACTTAATTGCAACCTTCATCATTTATAAAAATTTCAAAATATAAAAACATCAATAAACCGCCTTTCTGGAAACTTCCAATAGAGTCAAATTCCCAATTTATCGATTGGTGCCCGTCAAGGATTGGGCACCTTAGCAAGTTTTTTGGCATTTTTGCAGCTAGTCAAATTTTGTAAAAAGCATCCTAACGGAGGAAGGGAGCCGAAAATTCAACCCCCTCATGCCGACTAGGTCTCGGCAGTTCTTCCCCAACTCCGAGATCGCCGATGCTAATTTCTAGCGTAGTATGACGTTGAAATCCGCCGGCACTACGCACGCACGGATTTTGGAGTCGCGCGTAGTTGTCGAGTCCCAGTTGACCGATATCGGTCAAATTTGACGTTTTCTTTTCCCTTTATAGCCCCCTGGACTCGGGATTTTGGAGAACTTACAAGGAGACGTTTTTTAGTGTGAATGGAGTTTTAAGTTGAAACCAGGCCTATTCGGTGCAGAATTTTGCGCTGATTCCGATGCTGTTTGCCAATTTTGCTAAATAGCCCGATTTAAAAAGTTACAGCTATTTTAAGATAATTTTTAGGCCCAGAGTAGCCGTATGCTATGCTGCGCTACTTTTTTGTTATAACGTTTTAATTTTGTTTATGTAGCCTATCTTGTAGAGACTTTTTTTCTGATTCTAATGGTATATTTGATTAGTGCGCTACTGCAGATCGACGATGGCTTACAGGGGTGAGAAATAGGCTGTTTTTCACCATTTCCCATACAAAAATCGCAACCCATACCAAGTATCGTCGATTTTTTCGATTTTCAACAATTTTGAGTTAAATAGCTCATTCGATAGAGAAAATTTTTCTGAATACGGTGACGATATTTATTTTTGGAAAAACAGCCGGTAAAAGCAATATAATGGTCCCTAAAGAGGGGAAAATTTGGGCTAAAATGATCTTAAAATAGCTGTAACTTTTGAAATCGAGCTATTTAGCAGAAATGGAAAACATATTCGGAATCAGCGCAACATTCTGCACAAAATAGGCCTGGTTTCCACTCAGAACTCCATTCACACCAAAAAACGTCTCCTTGTTAGCATACCTAAGCAAAAATACATGGTTCCAAAACTATTTTAAACCCCGAAATTCATCAAAATAAAACTAATCTATAGCAAAAGTGCGGTGCGTAATTAAGGGATCGTAATAGTCACCGTGGAGCTTCTCTCAAAGTGCTCGACCTCAGACACGATCTCCCGGTAAATATCAAACGGCGTGCGCTCTTCTGATGAGAGTTGGATCTGAAACAGTCAATTTTTAAATTTTTCTGTTTTTAAATTCCAATAAATTTGAAAAGCTAAAACTTAAACTCTATGGCCCCTGTTTTGTCAAAATGTGGCGAATCCATGGGTACCGTACCCCCCAAAGCTGCTGACTATTCAAATAATCCGTGTGAAAATCTTGGCCTAAATAAGCCGATCCGGAGCATGGGTTAGATTATTAACGGCCTGGTTGCTGTCAAAAATCCCCTTAGACCCTGGCATTACAGTAATCCGGTGGAAATGCGAAGCGGAAGTGCGGCTTTATGGAATAATGAAGGCAGGCTAAAGATGGACCTGAATGAGGGGGATGTAAGTACAAATTTCCGGTCGGGTCCCGGGGGGCTTCAGGGTGATTTTATGGCGATTTTCAGGTTGTGGTAATTAAATCTAATCAAAGAAGAATTATGAATACTTTACGGGTCGTACTTCGGGCAAGAGCAAGAGAAAGAGAGAGAGAGAGAGAGAAAGAGAGAGAGAGAGAGAGAGAGAGAGAGAGAGAGAGAGTGAGAGAGGGAGAGAGATCGAGAGAGAGAGAGAGAGAGAGAGAGAGAGAGAGAGAGAGAGAGAGAGAGAGAGATAGAGATAGAGAACTTTTTTGAGCATGCTAAAAGCACTCTAAAATTGAATTATTTTGATTTTAAATTAATTTTTTTGTTTGGAACAAACCAGCAGAGTTTATTTGAGCAACAGCCAGAGCAAAAAAGTGAAAGAGAGAGCGAGAGAGCGAGAGATCGAGAGAGAGAGAGAGAACGACCTACCGATGGCAACCGGACTTGTTCCTCCTGCTGTTGTTGCACCAAAACTTGCTCCGGAAGCGGACAATTCGGCTGCACTGTCCTGCTCGAGCATGGCGCCTGTTCCGTTGACGACTGACGAAAAGCTGAAATCCAAGAATTGAGCTTTCTTGCTTTGCTGCTTTAGGACTAAGCCCTAAGTCCAACCTTCAGGATTTTTTGTACCAGTTAGATCATCCCTATTAAGCCCTAATTTATTTTGTTTTTTTTTTTTCTGGTGATTCCTTGATTCCTTGATCTCTGTTTGATCTAACTTTTCAAAAATCAAAGTAGGATGAGTCAGTTGATTAACTTGGTCAAAACCAGGGTTTCTCCATCGGACTTACCTTGTGAAAATCGGGGCACCTTTTTCTTGAAATTAATCAGCGATGAAAGGATGCCGCCCCTCCGCAGCATATCATCCGGTTCAAAGGCCGAGGTTTGCATGGCTGAAAAATCAAATGAAAATTAACGCATTAATGAAACCGATAGGGGAACAAGAATAGGGGACGAATCTGGGTCAAGAAAAATCTGAGTGCAACAGTTAATTTTCCAGAAATCGCAGGAAAAGACTAAATAAAGGATCACGGAACGGCGTTTTAAAGGGACTGCGAACTCCCGAATTCATCAAATTTTCTATTTATCGAGTCTGAAAGATATTAGTATCGCAAAATTAAACTGATAAGTAAAAACAAGTAAGACGGATGGAAAGAGCGAGAAGGAGAGAGGGGATAGAGAACGTGGGAGAGAGAGAACGAGAGAAAAAGAGAGAGACTCTACTACCGTGCATGGTGGTTCTCATCGCAACTCCGAGGAAATTATTACAAAGCTAATGGCACCTAACAGTGCATTTTTGGACTGGGTTAGAGAGAGGGACAGAGGGAGAAATAGAGAGAGAGAGAGAGAGAGAGAGAGAGGGAGAGTTAGCGAGAGAGAGAGAGAGAGGGAGAGGAGAGGAGAGAGAGCGCTAAAGGAAAGATCGTTCGTTTCATGAGATAGCACATCTTGTACAGAATTTTTCGCTGATTCCGAATCCGTTTTAAAAAGTTGCGGAACCCCTCAGATTAAGAAGTTATAAACGTTTTTAATACCCAAAATGCCAAAAATCGCTTACTTTAAAGTGTTCTAAAAATTTCGTAAAATACTTTTGCAGGGAAAGTAAGGCGATCTCCGGGGTAAAGAAACGTGCTCTTTTGAATGGGCTACCTCACGAACCCGTAGCTCAAAATTTCGAAAATTTCGAAAATCGGCCATCTTGGGCATGGGCCCACCGAAAAAAACTATTTTGCAAATTTCGAGCTACGGATTCGTGAGATAGCCCATTCGGAACAGCACGTTTTTCTACCCCGAACTGCGCCTCACTCTCCCCCCAAAAGTATTTTACGAAATTTTTAGAACCCTTTAAAGTAAGTGATTTTGGCAATTTGGGTATTAAAAACGTTTGTAACTTTTTAATCTGAGGGGTTCCGCAACTTTTGAAAACGGATTCGGAATCAGCGAAAAATTCTGCACTAGATGTGCTATCTCACGAAACGAATTTCCACTTCGACCATAAACGGGTTACAGTTAGCTGAAGAAACGTTAACTAAATTGTTTTTTAAAAAAACACCCTTCCGGGGCGCTGACGAACTTTTTCGGCAAAAACAACCGATCAGAAGAGGAGAGGCTCTTTTGCGGAGCCTAAGCGGCAATATGTGGGGTGGCCTCCCGTCCTAATGGCCATCCCTTATCAATATTTGGGGCGGAGGGGATGGCTTCACTTTCTTCCCTCAGATTACTATCACCAATATCTCTGTCTCTCTCCCGCTCTCTCTATCTCCCTCGCTCTCTAGCTCCCTCTCCCCCGCTCTCTCTATCTATCACTCTTTCTCTCGCTCGCTCTCCGATCAGCAGCGGCCTCCCCCAATCGGCGGCGGCCCACCTCAAAAAACGAGCGAAACGGAAAGTGAGAGGGGGACGCCTTGTATATTTTATGACCACCCCGACAGCGGGTCGGCTTCTGATCTGGAGTCTAGAGACTACGAGAGTAGACAAGGGATGCAAATGTCAGAATTTAAAATACCGGAATTTTTGTTCGTTTTGGATAGTCGCTGAACCTGTTTTCAGGCTGGAGAACCTGACGACGACGACGACGTAATGGAGCATGAATGATGATGAACGTTTCTAAACGCCTGGTGAAGATTTGGTATGATATTCAGCGAGCGACGGTCCGAGGCGAAGAAAAAACCGTGCACAGCACAGTAATGGGCCCATTCACAAAGAGCTTATGTAGAAGCCAGAACCATACTGGCGCCCTAGGAAACCGACGAATTTAGAGACATTGAGATGACGAGTAAAAAGCGTTTCACGATAGAGAACTGGTAATTTTATAGCTGCCAGGTCGACCAGATAGCCGGCCTAGATTCTGGTGAAAACTAGAGACCACAGGACTACGAAAATATGTCAAAAAAAGTTTATCAAAATCAAGTTTCCGCAATGGGAAGTACTCGGTACGGACCGTACCCTGTTCTTTGGGTGATAATGTCGAAATTCATAAGGCTAAATTTTCATGAAAATGAAATTCCAGAACACCGAGTTTTTATCGATTTTACCCGATATCGGTTGTAGAGCTGTGATTTCATGCGGTAATTGTGGTCGCCCCAGATTGTGAAATGATCAATTTCTTCTCTCTTTGTAACGGATTATAAAATTTCAGCGTTTTAAAATTTTGGTAACATCAAATTACGGCTTTGTGCTAATTCCGCGTCGTAGCATTCATTCAATTAAAGTTGTTTCCTCTTGTAAACCCTTCGAAAAACCCTTTGATGATTTCACAGCCCCCCAAATGCTCCAAGAGATTCCCAGCGACCCGATTTCCGATGTGGAGGCGGCTGGCTCGCGACGATTTCGAAAATTCCACCCGACACCTATGGCTTCGGGGAGTGAGAAACCCCACGGAACGCCCCGGAGGCGCCTGATTGGAAATTTGGCACAGGCATCACACACAACTGTACTAACAAATCGCTCCATTGCCATACACAAATCATCACAAGGTTTTCGTGTGAGTCGTCTGAAAAATTTTATTGATTGGCTGGAGTACCGTAATCGACAAATTCGCCACTTTCTTCCTGTAAAAATGATGCTCTTTATAATTCTACTATGGATGCGGACGGGACAGGTGAGTGAAAAAATTTTTGATAAATATGTCGGACGTTTTTGAGATCATTTTCGATGTCTGAAAAACCATACTTTAAGTATTATTTTTATTTTAACTTTCCTAACTGATTTTTCTTAAAATGTCTATTTGTTTTTGACCCACAAGTTTCATTTATTTGTTATTAACTTTTTAAATAAGCATTTTAGGCTGATATTTTAAGTTGATTTAATCTACCATTTTCCGAGACTTTACCTCGAAAAATTGGAACTTTCGACTTTAAAAATAAAATTTTGAATTAATTAGGTAAATTATTGATTGAGTTCAATACCAAAAAGTGAATTTTTTTGAAGGCGAATCAAGTAATAATTGTTACATAAGTTTAGCCTTTTCCAAATTATAAATCATACTGCTGAATTTTATTTTGTTTTTATCTTTTTCAGGCTCAACTCGACACAACACCCGCAATTACCAACCCATTTACTACCGTAACCAGCATACCCTCCACTTTGGCCATGACGACGGCTTTTGGGTTCACGGATGCAGCTACCACCGGAGCTACGACCCCAACAACGACTCGTATCCCGCTCACTGGAGCTGCTGGGTACCCATATCCGCCGGGGAGCAAGAATCTCAAGATCGGGTTTATTGGTCGGTTTTTATGGCCTTTAAAAGGATTAAGCAGCACGCAAAGCAATGCGTAGGCTTCACAACGTTTTCTTGAAGCTTTCCAAAGTTTTTCAAGGCTTCGTGAATTTTGGGAGTCGAATCTCGGCCAAGTCTCATAAAATTAGCGTTCTGGTTTGAGTATCTAAACGTAGTCACCAAAATTGGCCTGCATCTCTCTCGCCCTCTCTCTCGCTTTAACAAGCGAGTTTTTTTAGCAACCGAGACCTCATCCCGCGACATTGGATTATCGACCTGTGGCGGAGCGGTGCCGTTCGCGATGGACTACATTGTCCAAAATCAGCTGCTGAATGACTACACTTTTGAGTGAGCAATGCCAGGCTGTAATTTGTTCTCGCCTGGAAAATGAAGCACTTCTAAAACAAACTTCAAGTTGGCCAGATCTCATATCGGTCTAATTAAATTTTTGGCTTCGGCCTCCCGATTTTGGCAGCTCCGATTTATTGAAGTGGAATCGAAAAAAGACGAAAACCGCCAAAGAATTTTGTACTTGCGATTTTTAGGTTCGTGGTGAACTACACAGACTGTGATGAGCAATCCGCGGCCGGGATTACGGTGGAGATGATCACCGACCATGACGTTGATGTCATTATCGGACCGCCTTGTACCAGCTGTCGGTTTTTTTTGATTTCCATAAGGCTCTTCCTGAACAAATGGTCTCACGGGGTGCAGCAGCACCCAAGTTTACCTGAAGCCCTGCCGAGATCCACGGCAACTTCAGGGTTTCGGCATCATAAATTCCTAAATACCAAAAACGACGTTTGCGTTGCGGTTTTACGTTTCATTACAAAAAGGCTTCAAGGTTCCGCAGCATAAGGAGGCAGGATTAAAATAACTCCAACATTTTTAAACGAAACACGTCATTTCAAGATGTATTGGCGATATCATATCGTATTAACGGGGCTGCGAAATTCCAAAAATTGCCGAAATTCCGGTACACGCTATGAACAAAACCGATCGAACAGTAGAGTACCTTAAAAACTTTCACAGCATAGGAAAATTCGGAACTAAGGACAAAAAATGTTTTAGCAATCATCCCATCGGCCATGCTCACCGCGTTCTACTTAAAATACAAATCGTCTGGGGCTACTCCACAGCTGCGAGACTAACGGATGTTGTGCGATTTCCGACGCTGACCAGTGTTACTGCGAATACGTTACAGTACGTTAAGATACGGACTCACGGGGGAACTCGAAGCGACAGAGAGAGAAAGGGAGAGAGAGAGAGAAAGAGAGCGAGAGAGAGCGAGAGAGAGAGAGAGATCGGAAGATCTATACCATTATTTTAGAATGGGCTACGGCTTACTCGCCTTCATGAACCTCTATGGCTGGGGCCAATTTGGCATCATGTACGTCGACGACCCGAGCGGATTCTGTGATTCGTTACTCACTGACGTAGCCGTGCGTCTTTTTTCGGGCGGACAGCAGTTGTTACGTGGCTTCATTTCCGATTTTCAGCGATCTAAGGTCTCAAAAATCGATTTAGACAGCCGCCTCGAATCTCGACACCAACTTCACGCTCACCTACCAGGTGAAACTCGCCTCGATCTCGTACTCGGATCTGAAGGCCGGGTTGACGAAGATGAAGGCAAAGGCTAGAAGTAGGTGGTTGTTGTCGAGCTCGTGACACGCGTATCTGTCGAGACCTAGTCAGTATGAGCCACGAGTTTAGCGCTTGAAAGCTCCTTTAGGCTGGTTTTCAGTTTCATCAGAAGCTATTTAGGATTATAAAATTAAATAAAGGTCGTAATGAAGTTTTTTTTAGTCATCGTGATGTGCCTCGAAGGCGTCACGAAGCGTCAGATGCTTCTGGCAGCCTATGACAATAATATGACTACCCCCGACTACGTCTACATCATGATGACGATGAGGGGAACAGGGTTCGGTGTCCAAGCAACGTCCAATTACACGACTGAAGTCTGTAAGCAATATTCTAGTCTGCGTTCAATTCTGTCTCCATTTCTAGTGGACAACGGGTTCACCCCGATCTGGGTCGACGTCAGCAACCAGCCACCGGATGGCCGAGACGATCAAGCGAAACAGGCGGCGACCAGGCTTTTGGTGGTGAGTTCAGGATAGCGGCGTGGAATGGAGTACTGTAATAGATTCGGAATTGGGGTACGTGACGCTACCCTTGAAGCGAGTAGTGCCACGTCTTCGTAACGCTCATGAGTACGTAAAGATACGTAATTGCGTGCGATAGACTCGGCTACGTACACGTACGCTGCCACGTATTTTGCTAGTACGGATACGCAAAGCTACGTTTTTACGCACCGCCATCGGTCGCACGCATCGTGATTGCCTCCCTATATCCTAGATTGTTTTCCGTGCAGATAAATTCCGATTTTCACCTCTTCGTGATTCTTATTACGCGCGCCAACGTTCCAATCACAAGGCGCGTATTTCGGGGACCTGGTACGCAATGCTACACCTGACGTGCCGGAAAACGCACATCGGGTGACTAAGAAACTCATTAAAGCCCCCTGCATCTACCATTTCAGATCGACACCGCCAGCCTGGTCGCCATCGGGACAGACCCGTTAACATTCAAGCAAGAAGTGTTTAGTAGGGTAAGTTTGATCGCGATTTTCAGTGAGAAATAATTTCAAAAAATCATGAAAAATCTCTGACCATCTGCGAAAATTGTGAAGTCGCAAATGTACTTGGAAAAGATAACAATTAGAACGAAGACTTGGGCTTATTGGAGCTAGATATTCCCAGAGTTTTTTCGTAGTAGTTGCACCGTACGCACTGTACTCTACTTCATAGCTTACGTCATGGCTCTAGAAATAGTTCTTCAGTAGATAGCCTATCGATGAGGTGGCCCAAAATATTTACTACATGATTTGGATTTGACATTTCGCGTCCAAACCACTAGAAAATTACCAAATAAATATAAGTTAATGAAAATGAAGTCGCTTTTGACGTTATAGGTGAAAATACAGATGCTGGAAAATTCTAAGAAATTGGTTTTGGAACACCTCGTCGATAGTTTTTTGTAGTATTGATAGAAAAACTAATTAAACAGACCAAAATCCGCTTTTCAGGTAAAAGGATGGCCATTCTTCTGCGACACTATGCAATGCCAGCTTTTGTATAATGTGACGGGAGTAGACTTTAAACGGTTTTAGGGAGTCAAATTCCTTTGAGGCGGGCAACTTCATCTCCTATCTCTACGATGCCTTTCTATTTTATGCGTATGCAATGAACGCTACCCTGGCTCAGGATCCGGTTGGCGGGCTGAGGAATTGGACCCTATTCAATGAGCTGAAACTCGGGGTCGAATTTACCGGTGAGTGGGAGAAGGGAATTCCAGTCAAAATCCCGACTCGAAAGTCCCGACAATCGAAATTCCGACAGCCAAAGTCCGGAGAAACAAACACTCGAGAGCCAAAATTTGGACCAAAAATCCAGGCAGTCAAAATACTGACAGCGAAATTCCCGACGTTACCTATTTTTCGAACATTTTGAATCTTCGACAATAAGTTCAAAATGTAGAATTTTCTGCAGGTGTTTTTTCGACGCTATGAAATTTCGACATTATGAAATTTAGACATTATGAATTTCGACATTATGATTTTCGACATTTTGAAGATAAGCCGGCAGAAAGTCCCCCCAATTAAACGTCCCGTACCCTAGTTTCTGCCCCTAACAAATTTTATTTTTTTTTATTACCAAAAAAGCCGCATAAAACTGCAAACAAATATAAAATAATCCTTTCTCTTCAGGCTGGTCCGGTGTGGTGGCGATGACCCAAAACGGGAGCCGAATTCCGCGGTTCTTCGTCACCGGAATAGACGGGACCGGGACTCCGGTCAATTTTGTGAATTTGACCTATGCGTTTGATGGGGAGTTGATGGTAAGGGATCCAAAAATATCGTGCTGATGTTACTAGGACGCTACTGTACTTTATGATGACGCTGCCACTTCAATATGGGCAACCAGAAATGGGATTCAACCTGCTGATGAGCCGACTTGCGGGTAAGAGAGGGAGAGCGAGAGTGAGAGAGTGAGGGAGAGAGGAAGGAGATAGAGAGAGAGAGAGGGAAAGAGAGACAGAGAGAGGGTGCGAGAGACAGAGACGAGAGAGAAAGACAGAGCGAGGGCGAGAGAGAAACAAATTTTTCGTTTCAGCTTTTCCGGAAAAGCCTGCCCGATATCCATGTGGGCCCAAAGTGGCGGTTATATCATTGCAGCCATTGTAGTGGCTGTATTACTTGTCATAATATTGATTTTAATCGCCATCTACGCTGTACGGTAGGTTAAGCACCCTTTAGCAAAAATCCTGATTTCAGGGAAAAACGACGAGAAATCGAGCGTCTCAATGCCGAGTGGCGCGTAAACGAGACGTCTTTACAGAAACCGCGAAGCCGGGTGAGTTAGACCCACTCCCTCCCTCTCTCACTCATTCTCTCTCTTTCCCTCTCTCTGTCTCTCTCCCGCTCTCGCTCTCTACCCCTCTTTTCAGAACGAAGCTCAAAGCATGCACTCGATCCACTCATCAAAGTCTTCGATTTCCGGCGCCGGCTCGAAATTCTCCTTTGGCAGCAAGCACAGCGACACGGGTGAGTTCATCAAAACTCGAGCAGCTCGAGGCAAGTCCCGGAAGGTAAGACTCACAGACTTGTTTAGACAAAATGAACTACTACCTCCTGGACGGGGAGCCGAACATGGCCTTCAAGCACAAGGTGGTCAGCAAGCTGTCGCCGACGGATCACCAAGAGTTGAGAATGGTTTGTGAATTTTGCAAAAATTGTCTTACTGTAATTTGTTCTTTATTTGTGGTACTGTTAAACTCTTTTTTAGCTCCGAAAGCTGGAACACGACAATTTGCATCGCTTCTTGGGGCTTTGTGAGCACGCTAGTCCGATTTTAACTATCTGGAGGCTGGCCTCGAGAGGAAGCCTGGAAGTATGTTTTTAAGGACTTTTTAACCTTAATTCCGGAATTTAAATTTTCTAAAATTGATTGATGCTATTTTAGCAAGTCCTCGTCGGCAGTAGCATGACGATCGATGGATTCTTCATGTACTCGCTTGTTCGAGATCTCGTCGAAGGATTGGTCTACATTCTGAAGTCACCTCTTAAAATGCATGGCCATTTATCGTAAGTGTAGATTGTGTCGTAGCGGAATGTAGCGTATTGGTGCTTTTTATCGTTACGTAAGGTATGCTCCTCTCGAGTTCGTTGCCGCGTTCTAGAGTATCATGCCGTAGCTTATCGAAGAGAACTAGTAATATTGGCTGTATTTTCCATTTACGAGGAGACTTTTCGTAGGGTACCGTAGCGGACCGTAGTGTATCGTAGCGCGCCGTAGCGTATGGTAGCTCTACGCATTGTAACGTAGCATCAGTTAAAACATTGAAAACTTGCATGGTGTATCGCATAGCATATATCGCTGTTGCATAGCGTATGATATCGTAGCGCTGCGCACATCATGCTCAACATAACATCGCAACGTAGTGCATCGTACTGTAGCAGGGTGTTGCTGCGTAGCTTGTCATACAGTAGTGTGTCATAGCGTTCCTTATTGCGTAAAATCGTAATAGAGTCAACCGTACCGCACTTCTTTTTCAGCTCCACAAATTGCTACATTGACGATCGGTGGCAGTTGAAAGTTGGTGGATATGGGCTGAGCTTCATCCGAAGTCATGAGCAGACGTCAAGGAAGGGTGGGTTCAAATTTTCTAGGTTGTACCGTTTTTCAGAACAGCTTTGGTTTGCCCCTGAAAAGTTGCGAGAGCCCCTGATACACTGGGATGAGGCGATCGACGTCTATTCGTTTGCTATCATTTGTTCGGAGATTATAAGCAGAAAAACCGCATTCGATATGGAGAACCGGAGGGAGAAAATTGAGGGTATGCCAAATTTTCAAACATGGATTTTTCAAAACAAGCTCGTTAGGAGGTTTTTCGTGGCCGACTGTAACTAGGGCATTCTATAACTCGTTGTAACTCCGGTATTAATGGTTTTTGAACTTCTAGGCAATTATTGTAGTTTCTAGATTTTAGCTATTGACTTTTCAGAGGTGCTGTACATGGTGAAAAAGGGCGGTTCGGTCCCGCTGCGACCTGAGCTGATTGTTTCACATGATGCCGATGTGAATCCGGCTTTGGTAGGCGTTTCGAAAAACAGTGTCTAGACTTTTTTTCAGCTTCATCTAATCCGTGACTGCTGGACCGAAGAGCCGAATAATCGGCCGAATTTTGCTACTATCAAAACGCTGTTGTTGGCTATGGTAAGAATTTATTTATCTGAAAACACCGAAAAGCGTAGCGTAAGCTATTAACCAAAAGCCGTTTTAATAGCAAGATATGTACGCTTGAAGTGTTTAGAAAACGAGGTATTTTAGGGCGCGGACCGGAAACAAAACCTGATGGACCACGTCTTCAATATTTTGGAGAGTTACGCAGAGACGCTGGAAAAGGAGGTAGGCTAGAAAAAAAGCAGTTGCAGGCTATTCTTTGGCTAGGGCTTACGGTACCGCGGCATACTTTAACACAACAACCAAAATCCCAATTTCTAGGTCCAAGACCGAACCGGGGAGCTGACAGAAGAGAAGAAGAAGAGTGACATTTTGTTGTATAGGATGCTGCCAAAGTAAATACTCTTTCTCTCTCTCTCTCTCTTTCTCTCTCTTTCTATCTCTTGTTCTCGCTCTCTCTCTCTCTCTCTCTATCTCGTTCACTCTCTCCCTACAGAAAATTATCTTCTATTACATCTTTAGACAAGTAGCAGATCGTCTAAAACTTGGCCAAACTGTTGAACCGGAGACGTACGACAGCGTCACGATCTTCTTTTCCGACGTCGTGAAATTTACGAATTTAGCAGCAAAATGCACGCCGTTACAAGTACGTTTCAAGGAAATCGGCAGCGAAGCAATCATTTCAGATCGTCAACCTCCTAAACGACCTCTACTCCACGTTCGATCAGATCATCGAGGAGCATGGGGTTTATAAGGTATGTAAGTATAACCAAAACAAACTCACTATTCTCGAAGTCATGACAAGCTAGAAGAGCTCCTTGAGGAAATAGTGCATTCATGAGATACGATAAAAACTGTAGTACCGTAATTTAGGTCGAAACAATTGGCGATGGATACCTCTGCGTGTCTGGCTTACCTCATCGAAATGGAATTCAGCACATCAAGGATATTTCAGAGATGTCATTAGGATTCTTGCGATCTATTCAGGTAGAGAGACAGAGAGAGAAAGAGTGAGAGAAAAAGAGAGAGTGAGAGAGGGAGCTTCTACACGTTATTTTTCAGTTCTTCCGCATCCCCCATATCCCTAGCGAGCGTATCAATTTGCGTATCGGAATGCACTCCGGCTCCTGCGTAGCCGGGGTAGTTGGATTGACAATGCCAAGGTGATTTTTAGACACTTAAGGATGCTAAATTTCAAATTCTGCATGCTTTGTTGTCTCTAGTCCCTATCTAAACTAGATTTTAGCTCTAGAAAACAATTTTTAGCTAATTCTAACTAGTTTAATTGGTGCCGCAGGTGGGTTTAATTGCATTTTTGCATGATGATTTGTTCAGTATTGAATTAGGCTTACTTTTTTAGGTATTGCCTCTTTGGTGATACGGTAAACACCGGCTCTCGGATGGAGAGTAATGGAAAACGTAAGTAGAGATTTCCTATCATTTTTAACTCAATTTTCTAGCCGGTCAAATTCACATTTCGTCTAGCTCTCATGAACTCATCGAAAAAGTTGGCGGCTACGTTACGGAGCCGAGGGGAGAAGTGATTATAAAAGTACGTTGAACATCTACATTTTTGGGCCGAAAGCGAAATGTTGAATTTGGTTAAATTGCGCTAAAGCCATACGGAAAATCCGGCAAAAGTCAGAAAAAGTTGCCTGTAAACTGAGAACTAAAAATCCGTAGAGAATTCTGCAAGTCACTCAGCTGCTTCTACGGATAGAATTTTTATTTTTGAATTTTTACACATTTACAAGGTTATTTACCTAGCTATTTCTAGGGTAAAGGCGTAATGTCGACCTACTGGTTGCTTGGTCGGGCTGACGACCCGAACTTGGCGCGCAACACCGAGCGGCTGAGGATGCAGACGAGCGATGAGATCCCATCGCGACCCGTTGAGGTATATCCTTTAACATAATTAAACGGTTACGGCAATTAAAGGGTTACGGTGTCGAAAGAATAAAAAAGTTATGCAAAAGAAAAGAAAAGGATCGTCGATTCTAGACCACCGCTCCTCCAGACCCGCTACAACGACAGCCCACCGAAGCCAGCGAAGGCCCAATGACAATGGCAGAATTTGTAAGAATTTTTTGGAGTCTGCATTTTTGCAGTTGCTTTACTGCTTTAAAGCGCCAGCCAGCGGGAATCCTAGTTTTTGGCGTTTTTCGACCATGAAAACCTTGATCAAACAAGCCTGAAATTTTAGGCTCGCCGCCCCACTGACCCAATGTTGGAAGACCTGGACGACGAGCCGTTGGGCATCTACCGGAAACATCTCAAACACATGCCGTCCACCAGAAAGAGCAGCATCGAAGAGATCCCGAACGCTCAATATTGATCTCGAAAAACAGGACTTTGTACATGATTGGCATTTAAAAGTGTCTGAAAAAAATAAATATATTGCATTTAGATGTCAAAAATCCACGAAACTAAAGGGAAAACATGCACAAAAACATCATTTTTAGGATCACTGGCGAGTTCAGGCGCCTAAAAACCAGGCGCTCTAGCTGGCGGCAACGCTCGCGAGCCGGACGCGTCTCTGCACCGTATAGTGAACCCAACGTATTGACGTGGCGCTATCGGCAGCGGCTCGAAACCCAAAAATCACAATTCCTCGCTGATTTCAAAGCGTAGCGGGCTTGTCGCGCCGCCGTTCCGCAACGTGGCCGCAACGCCGCCGCTCGACCCCACGAAATTTTGTCGAAGCCCTTCAAATCCGAATAAAGCACAAAATTTTACGCTAGGAAATTTAATGCTGGCTCGATAAATAAAGCTAACGTTAGAAGGTTGCTGATTGGCTGCAACGCGTAGCTCGCGTAGCGGCAACGTGGACGCGACGCATTCGCACCGCGTTCTAACGATCTTGCTAGCCCATCTTCAAAAACCGCAAAATCAACATCCAAATTCTTGCGCTAAAAGTTTAATCTTGCCTCGCTCCCTCAAAATATAAATATTTTCCTTGTCGTCTTTGCCAATTAGGCTGCCAAACCGCGCTGACGAGCGACTACAGTACCCCAAAATAGCTGTTCTTCTCGGCCCGCCTGTCACGAGCGTCAAATCAAATCCCTAGTAGGGATTCTTGGTTCCCACAAGATGCTGTTGACTTCACAGCTATCCGGATGAGACTCAGAAGGAGGTGGAAGACCTTTCCGAGTTCCTCCCCATAAATAGCCCGGCCTTCCGGTGATTTCCAAAGAATCCCGAGAATCGTGAGGCTCGCCGGATTGATGCCGGACTACGCGCATGGGTTCAAAATTCTGCTTTCCGAGAACTTTGCCAATTCGGTAAATGGGAAGCCTCAAAAATGGTAAAACCTTAAAAAATGGCCTCGTGACTGTCGACGAAGCACTCGGGAACTTTCTAGAGGGTGCAGGAAGAACGAATTTTTGAGCCGGATTTGACTGGATTGGTGAAATTTTTGAAAAGTTCAACAATGCCTCCCTTTCCCTTTACTATTCGCACATTAATGGCTGCATTACGCGTCGGTAGAATGCTTCGACAGGACGTGACAACAAGACTTCGGGGGGTTAAATACTATGAATTTTGTTGGCTTTGGATCTGTACAGGGTGTCCCAAAAAAACGAACCATCTGGCATTTCGCGGTGTTACATCCAATCGGTCCCAAATTTGGACCAGAGGTGTATCAGACCCTAAATAACAACAATCCTGACTTATAGCCCCGTAGCTACAGTCGTTCTCGAGTTATGCCAAAAACAAACTTTATTTTCCATTTTTCACAGGGTTTTCGTGGAATTAGACCCCCTAGACATCAAGTCAAAATGATCCGGTAGGCCTTCTTTACCTTAAGAAATTTTTTCCAGAGTAAAATTAATTAAATAAGCTTTGATTTAAGCGATTTTTACAACGCAAAATTACCCAAGTTCTTAAAGGGGCTCCGAAATCTGGTCCACGTCCCCCTGCTGTGATTCCTGGCAAATAGCCAGATGCGAACGCAACGCGACCGCGCCGCATGATCTCTTGCCCCTGTTTGGACGCGAAAACGCTGGAATTTCAAAATTCTGATGCTATATTTGGAATCCTCAACCAATTCTGATTATTCTATACTTTTAAATCATGAAAATTGATCAGAGGATCGCCGAGATCGAGAGATTGGGTGCCTTACATGGCATTACGACATGTAATCGCCGCGCACTCAAAAGGTCGTTTTCGCCCCAAAAAAGAATTCGGTTTTTCTCAAATATTTTACATTTTTTGGCGATCAAAACATTTTTCTGGCACTTCTAGGCAGTGACCCTTTCGTTTTTTGACCCGTAGGTTCAATCCCCGCACGCATGAATTTTGACTTCTGGGCCCCTTTAAGCGAAATTAGGGATTCGTAGCCGGAAGTCGATGCAAATCGATGTAAAGTCCAAAAAGATAGCCGAAAAAACTGTTCAGAATTCTCTGAAAAACAGTATTTTCGTTATAACTCGAGAACGACTGTAGCTACGGGGCTAAAATTCAGGATTGTTGTTATTTAGGGTCTGATACACCTCTGGCCCAAATTTGGGGCCGATTGAATGTAACACGGCGAAATGCCAGATGATTCGTTTTTTTTGGGACACCCTGTATAGGTTTGAGGGGACCGCGGCCCGCAACGCGCGTGATAGATTGCATCATTTTCCCTCGCATAATGGGTTATGGCTTTTCTGAGATAACTAGAAGTAGTATGTCACAGCCTTGCTAAGTTTTGCTGCCCAGATCTACACACGCCGCGGTCAATGGCGCCCACGCACCGCTTTGAGGCCGTCTCGAGGACGCAACCGCTTACGCCATGGAACGCGCGCGTTGCGTGTCACGGTTTTTTAGCGCAGCCCTCGAGCAACAACAGAATCGAACCGCACTGTTGGTAGGGCCGAGCTGTCGAGACCTAGTCGACCAGAGGGGTCTCGTGCTTTGTCGAACTTTAAAGGACGTACAAGGCCCGGATATGGTTGTTTTGCTATTGTTTTTCCAAGAAATTTACCGTGACCGCGACACATAACGCGCACGCCAAGCGTTGCATATCCCTTTAAAGACATACTTACTGGCGCCAGTCAGCGTCTACAACGATTATTTTTGGCTTAAATGTTTCAAAGACTGCAGTTCGCTTTGCCCGTTACGCAAGTCAAATAAAAATTTGTGCAGAATCTATAGCCCGACACCGTAGACGTGTCTTACTCACCACTTCAAACGCGAACTTCTTGATCTCTTGAACCAGCAGTCTAGATTGATTAAATTTTCGCTTCTTAAATTTCCTCAAAAAAGATGCGGAAATCCCCCTCTCTCTGCTTTGTGCACCAGATTAAAGGGATTCCCCCTTTGATCGGATTCCATCTCCCCTCAACGGTCGGCTGACACCTTCGGTAACTACGGTAGGGTTTCCTGGGGGCGGACGCCAGCAATCTGCTGGGGGCAACTTGGACGCCACAATTTTGATTCCGGGATTTTGAAGTTTGGCGGGCGGTGTTGGATCCAATGCGAATCGTCTATTCCCGAGTTGTTATTCGTTAAATGTGCTTGGTGTCGAATACTTGGGATTTCATCGTGTTTCCCGCATCCAGGCTTGGCTACTGTCGCTTGAGGGCTTCACTTTGATGCCTGAATTCGAGTTTACACGATTCCTAGTTGAATATTTTGGCATTCCTCCAAGAAGTCACAATTTTTTTTGCAACTCTAATTCGGATGCGCTATTTGCGAAAGCATTTGCATAGCCTTTTTATCGTTGAAAAACTTGAATTTTATGTCCTTTCAAAATGTTAGCACGTCCGTTAGCTTTTGTTCGTGGCGTATCATTTTTCCGCTGCGCCGTCAACTTCTGCTTTTTCTGATTACACGCATTTGAAAGAGCAAAAAGTTCTACTCTGGCGAATTCAAACAAAAATCTGATGGGACTACCGTATTCCAAAAGAATCCACCTGACGACCATTTTTAGGACACTTTGGGTGCTTAAAGCATTTCGGATTCAAAAACAGCTCTTTTAGCCAAACATTAGTACCGTAATTGCGTGCTCGCTTTAATGAACGCGCTTCCTTAAAAGGGATAACGACGGCAAAACTAATTGGTGACGCGAGGGAAAAAATGTTTCCGCGTCGCGCCTGTAGCGCGCTCTCTGCCCTCTTGGCTACTTTCCAAAAATCGATCAAAATTGATCAAAGAAGTATGCTGTCGGCATCCCTTTAAAAAACTAATCTGCCCCCAATTGATCTCGATGCCCCTGTAGCTTGTGCTCAAAAATCGAGTCTAGCCAAAAAGACTACATCTCAAACCCCTTCAACTCCCGCAAAATATTTTTTGGGGATTCACTTTCAAAAGTTCAGGTGTCGTGCGCAAGTCGGTTGGACTCTGTAGGGCTTTCTTCTCAGAACCTCGAGTCTCGAATTTTACGCTCATTTAACATCTAAAACTCACTTATTTTTATAAAGTATCAATTGAACATTGACATCGCGAGCCTTTTAGGTTCTCAGGATGCTAGGTGTAGTGCTCTTCATAATCATGGCATTACTTGGCGGCGGTCAGACGCAGAATGGGACGGAGACCACGGTAGGTTGGAGGAGTGTGAGAGATAGAGAGAGGAAGAGAGAGAGAGAGAGAGAGAGAGAGAGAGAGAAGGTGCGATCTAAAACATTTTTATTTTCAGACAATCGCCCCAATAAAAGATACCTTCACTGTCGGTATGATCGTCACCGAGTGGCTTCAAGCCCAAGTCGGCTTCTCCATCACAGGCGGTGTGATCCCGATCGCTCTGCAACAGATCGCGAAACTTCATCTGCTTGATGCGATTAACTTCGAGTGAGTTTTTGCAGGAGAGTGGGAGTAAGATATAGAGAGAGAGAGAGCGAGAGGGAGAAAGAGAGGGAGAGTTAAAGCTAGATTTGAACATCTAATTTTCAGATTCGTGGTCAACTACACCGACTGCACCGAGGCGAATGCCGCCGGAATTGCCGTGTACCTAATCAACGAGCGGAAGGTGGACGTGATCCTCGGGCCGCCTTGCGCTGCAGGTAACTTAGGGGGACGTACTAACTTCGGTCTTAGGGGGACCAAAAAACCGGTTTAACGCGAATATTTTTAAAAGTCATCTGCGTTCAGTATTTTTTAATATAATATTATTTTTTAATTTTTCCGGTGGCATGCTAGTATCCAAAATCCACAATTTTCAGCAATCATCCCCGTTGGGATCCTCAGCACATACTACGAGACGTTGATGGTATCGTTGCGTATTTTTCCCGACAACTTTCGCTTAGGTAGCTTGGGGCTTCGCTTCCTCTTCGACACTAACCGATGCTACTCGATTTCCCTATATTACGACGGTGGTGCCGAACTATCGACAGTAAGTTGAGAGAAACAGTGAGAGAGATAGAGAGAGACACAGAGGGAGAGAGAGAGAGCGAGAGAAAGAGAGAGAATCGTCTAATTCAAATATTCAAATCCATTTCAGACTCGGCTACGCGCTCGGCGCCCTCCTTATCGAGATGGAATGGTAAGCTTCTGGCACTTTCTAAGGAAAATTCTGTTCTTAGGGAAATCGCAGCCCTGTTCTACGGTAATCAGGGAGCCGGAATTTGCGACAACATGATGTCGGACGTCACGGTTCGCGAATAATTCTAGGCTTCAACGATCCAAAAATCTTCCAGGATGCTCTGAACGATCCCATCTTCAGTAACATCACCATGGCCGCCTCGATCAAGGTCGAACTGTCCGGTGGATCCTCACGTAGCACGCTGGTGACCGGGCTGAAGCGGTTGACGACGAGGGCTAGAAGTAGAGAATTTTTTGCATAAGCTTACTGTACTGCTTGAACTCCTGGTGTCGAAATGATTATTATGCACAAACCAAAGCCTAAGCTCAAGCCGAAGCCCAATTCTACGCCCTAAGCCCGATTTGAAGCTCAAGTTCGAGCAGTTCAGCGAAAT